TCGCCGACTAATGAGTAATATCAAAAGTCGCCGAACAGCCATTAATTAAATTTTTTTTACAAATCGTATTGTAAAAAAAATCTATAAGACAACGTAAAACATAATTAAAACTAGTGTGAAAATATATAGTTAATATATATTGTTGATACGAAAAACCCTTACAAACGGGATAACTCAACATAAATATAATTCTTTAATAAACACAACCCAATAAATAATGAACAGAAGTATAGTAAAATGGTGGTAAGATAATATAATATATTTATAGAAAAAAAAAGTCAAATCAAAAAAAAACGAGTTGATGAATAATAAGGGATGTTCCCTAAAAATAGGGTTGTCATATTAAAAGATTGAAAAAAGCGTAATACAAGCGAAATGGTGAACAAACCAAAGACGAAGGTTTTTCTCCAAAGAAGAACCATTGGAGAAGTAAAAAGGAACTATAAGTCTGAAAGAAATACCCAATGGGTTTTTTTTGAAATTCAAGAAGACCCAAAGAAAAAGAAAAGCAAGACAGACAACGAAAAGAGAAACAGAAAAAAGGAGAGGTGGCGGGTGTTTTTTCCTGGAGGAGGACGGGCGGCTTGCTAATAAAAAATAACTCGAAAACCAGGATGAACTTATATTTCCATTCCACATGACTCAACCAAATCCAGACGCACAAACTATTAAATTGGTTGTAGTAGGCGACGGTGCTGTCGGAAAGACATGCCTTTTGATATGTTATACCACAAACGAATTTCCAAAGGAATACGTCCCAACTGTATTTGACAACTACATTGCTCCGATGACTGTCGACGGAAAGGCTATCAACTTGGGGTTATGGGATACTGCAGGACAAGAAGATTACGAGCAGTTGCGCCCCCTATCATACCCTAACACCGATTTGTTCCTCCTCTGCTTCTCTGTCATCTCCCGAACTTCTTATAAAAACGTTGTCTCGAAGGTTTGTGTCGTTCTTAACTCATTACATCAATCATTTGATCCTCAAACACTTATATCATTTTCTCTGGTTTTATTGTAGTTTAATTATAGTTTTATTCTAATTTGCACATAGTAAAACACAATTGAATGGAAGTGGTTACCCGAAATCCGACACTACGAACCAAAGTGCAGGATGATGGTCGTGGGGACAAAAACAGATTGCCGAACGGACGAAGGAATGCTCAGAAAACTCGCAGAAGAAAACCAGAAGCCTATCACTACAGAAGAAGGTGAGAAACTCGCTAAGGAAATCAAGGCGACATGTTACATGGAATGCTCCGCTCTCACTAGATCAGGCCTTAATCAAGTCTTCGACGAGGCAATCCATGTCATCCTTAACAAAAGTCAACCGAAAAAAGGGTCGAGTGGTAAATGCTCCTTGTTTTGAATCAAACAACAAGGATAATCGGAATTTTGTTTTCTTCTTTTCTCTCACCAATAGTTAGTTTTATTATATGTTATACTATAAGTATCAGTTGTATTTGCAAATACTATATTTTTATTATAATTAAATCAATTGGTTTAATTTGTTTTTTTAAATTCAGTTTGAATTGATTTTTTCATTTCTTTTTTTCGTTTTCCAACAATATCCAAAAAGCGATAAATTGTTGGAAATTTTTCTAATATATCTTATAATATAAAATAATACATTTTTCGAATGTATTATTTTGTGTTTACTGGTTTTAACAACTATTCTAAACAATACAATCAAGTAAAACCTAACTTGTCAAAAAACTAAATAATTACTTTTGAAAGAATCAACATGTATAGTTTGAGTCAAACTACTAGAAATATTGAATAAATATGGGGTATTTTTGAATTAATAAAATTGTAGTTTAACTGTATTATAAAGTATAGTTTAATTTGAATTGCTTGTGAATCAAATAATAATAAAAAAGTATCATACAAATATAGTACAGAAATAATAACAAATTAATAAAAAAGAAACTAATGCTATTTAAATACAATACAATAATAAAAAGAAGATTATTGGCAACTCTTAATAAAAGTATCGAGTAATGCTAGACCACATAGTAAAAGAAAGTGTTATAATATGAAAAGGGTTGTCGAATAACAAAAATCATAGCAAACATCACAATTACAAAATCAAGCATCCATCTCCGATGAACACTCAGTAAAACACATAGCGCTGGCGATTTCATCACAGTTCTTTGGGACTTCGGACTGTCTCTTATCAAAGAGTAATCCCGCAATCTTTTCATTGATGTTGGTCCCAAGGTCAACGATCTGTTGTTGCGACACCACGACAACATCATTCAAATAGATGGTATTGAACGTTTCGACCTTTTGTGCGCCTTTTTTACCGGACGTATACCGGGACTCGAACTTATATCCGAACTCTCTAAGGACATCCATTAATAAGTGTAATTGTTCAGTAGTTCTATTTGTCTCATATCGTCGTTTTGCCGTCTTTTCCGCTATACCTTGTTTCACATCATTGCTGAACTTCTCTTGACACCGCTTCTCAACAAAGTCTTCGACTCGGATACAGTCGTTTCCCTCTGTTAATTCTTCTATTTTAAACAACTGAAGTGTCAGGACTGAGCGCTTGATTGGTATCAAGAGCTTGACTTGGAAATGTTTGTTTATCAACGCTAGAAGAATCGCTTGTTGGTACACCTGTGAGTTACGGAGTCGACTAAAGGCGACGTTGACTGACGACTTTGGACGTTTGTTGCGTTCCTCAGTGGTGTCTAGCTTCTGCATTTTGTGAATGAAATTGAATTGGTGTGTTTAGATTTTATGCGGATTACCCATGCTCTTTTTCTTCTTTCTTCTAATTTTCTGAATTTTGATGGCAAAATGTCACGTCTGATTGGCTGCTTTTATTCCCGCTCTAATCCGCTTGGAAATTTTGCTGATTCTCTAGTTACGCCGTTCCATGGCACTTATCGTATACAATTACCATTTTGCGCAAAACAACGGTATAACGCGTGGCATAAAAAACGTTTGGAATGGATGTGCCGAGTTGTTGGGTTTTTCGTATTCTGAACAATAGGTTTTTTTGTGTTTGATTTTTAATTCGCTCTTTCGAAAACCCACCACGTATTTTCTCGGTAAACACTCCATATAACAGTCGATAACTCCATTATGTATCGGGAAAATGCCTTAACATCAGGGAATTTTGAGTATTTGGATGTAATAATAGGAGTTACTTGTCTTGTTTCTTATTGGTTTCTCTTCTATAACTAATGGTTTCTGTTTTAACATTTGGTTTTCTTTTTTCTGATATTTTTACTCTTTTACTAAAAATGATGTGATAAAAAGTGTTCTATAAATAATAAAGTGAAATTGGGCATTCTTGCTTTCTGGTTAAATTGGAAGTTCGATTACTCCAGTTTTTTACAGATTTGTGATTAGAATGATTAAAAAATATTTCATTTGCCCTTTGACTCCTTGAGCCCCTTTTTGGACACAAAAAAAAAATTTTTAATTTTATTGTGAAAATAAAGTGCACTCTTTTAGCAATTGCCAGTCATACCACCCAATTCGGTTAAATCACTTTCTTAACAAATTTAAAAAACTTTTTTAAAAAAATATAGTTATTATTAGGATCAAATAACCCATTTTTATTATTTTAAATTACTATGAATTACTATAAATAATTAACTTCATTTTTGTATGACGACTGATATTTGTGGGGACCTATGTTTGACTTTTTTTATAATCCCGGATTGCATACCATATTAAAGTTTGGAAATATTGGGCTTTAAAACTATTTTTTAATGACTTTTTTAACAATATAATATTGTAAAAATGTTTCGCTATTGGCTTTACAAATTAATATTTTTTGAGTAAACCCGAATTTTTTAGATTGTTCGGTTCTATTTTGTAATTAGACAACATCAAACTCATTCTTATTAGTTGAGCAATAACTTTTAAATTAGAAATTATAATTTGACCTACTTAATTTCAAATCACGAATTTCAATTCAAAAAACTATTTGTGGTTTAATCAATTTATAGTAGTTTTAGTATTAATATATAGTACACAGATCATTTGTGTAAAAAAATGATATATTTCATTAACAATTTTTGAATTCCGATTTCACGCCGAATATTTGGCGGCGTTTGGCCAAAAACAAAACAACAAAATTGATTCTTTTGGCGTTTTATTATTGAAAGCAATCGTTTTTGGAATGCGTATTTTTTTATCTTATACTAATTTAGGCTGATAATCCGGGTGGGTGTTACCCATGATGATAATTTCGTTTGCTATTTACCCCGTTTCTTGGGGTAAAGTAATAAGTAATGACCAAACAATCTCTCACAAAAGTGCACATTATATTTTAAACAGTACAATTTATTATATAAAATGCAATTATGGGAGTTAAAATAATGAAGTAATGGGCAATATTTATATTATGGTAACTTATAATAAAAACCTCATTATATTAGATCAATTTTATGCTATTTTACGGGAAAGTAAGAAAAACAATATTTAAAAAGAATGGAGTTTTAACAATAATATGAAAGAGGGATTTTTATGATTCTGCTGAAATATGACAATAAAAATAGACCGGTATTTAAAAAAATACTCAAAGTAGTTGTTCATTTGTAACTCAATTATTAAAAAATTCAAAAACAAAAAAAATAACTAAATGACGAAATTTATTAAATTTAAACCTA